TACCAGGAGTGGGGTCCATGTTGCTGAGCCCATGCATAACCTCCATCCCTGCCACCATGGGCACTTTGTTCATGAGCCTATTGAGCAATGACAGGAGTAGCTGGGGAAGAAGGATGACTGGTTTCCACTGAATGTTTCATCCTATCTACCTGATTGTTACAGTCCTCCTCTGCTGAGGTCACCTTTTGGTGGGCATTCACATGAGACACAAATATCTTCACTCCTTTGGCCCATTCAGAGAGATCTATCCACATACCTCTTAAGTCACACTTGTATTTCACCTTTTGGGGCTCGCTTGGACTTAAGCATAGTTATAGGTCTGGAAGCAACAATGGATGGTTGGGGCAATTCCTCAGAACATTCATCAGTGTCTTCTCATGCCTCTGGATCAACAGACAAAGAAGGGCATTACTGTACTATCTGATTACCAAGGGGAAATTGGATTGACTTTACATAATGGAGGTAAAGAAGAATATGTCTGGAATACAAGAGATTCTTTAGGACTTCTCTTAGTACTACCATGCCATATGATTAACATCAATGGAAAGTTATAGTAAGCCAATTCTGATATGACTACTAATAGCCCAGACCCTTCAGGAATGAAGATTTGGGTCACCCCACCAGGCAAAGAACCATGACCATCTGAGGTGCTTGCTGAGGGCAAGGGAAAAACAGAATGAGTGGTGGAAGAAGGTAGTTCTGAATATCAGCCACAACCACGTGACCAGTTGCAGAAACGAAGACTGAGATTGTTGTTATATTTCTTCATTGTATATGTGCATCAAATATTTTTGTTTCCTTCTGTTATAAACTGTGAAATGTAAATAAGGTTAATGCATTTTGGTTGTACATGTGTTAGCATATCATGTTAGGTGCAAATATGACTTTATAGTTTTCCTTATTTAGAGATTATATATGGTTAAGAAGATGTATACAACTGCCAAGTTGACAAGGGGTGGACTGTGATAGTTGGAGCTGTGTGTCAACTTGGTTGGACCACAATTCTGTATGATTTAAGCAATTGTGATGTGGGTTGTTCCAGTGGTGGGATCAGATGTATATGTTTTGAGCAGCCAATCCATTGAAAAGGAGTTTCCGTAGGGGTGTGGCCTGCTTCCAGTATATTTATGGACATCCTGAGAAAAGAGACATTCTTCTGTGGATCAGGATTCTGCCTACAACTGTCCATGAGCGAACAATCCACCATTCGGCCTTGGATTTGTCATTCATTGGAGTCAGCAGCCAGTATACTGCCTGCCAACCTTGAGCTCCTCAGCCCTTGCAGCTGCGTGTGTCAGGAAGCCTCCAGTTTGATGTTTGATCCAAGAACTTGGAACTTGCCAGCTTCTATAAGTGTATGAGCCACTGTGAGCCATTTTCCTAAGATGAATTTATTTTTCTCTCTATATATAAGCTTTACTGGTTTTGTTTCTCTAGAGAACCCAGTCTAACACAGTATCCTTGTTGAAAATCAATTGATCATAGATGTATTATTTTATTTCTAGACTCTAAGTTCTTTTCCAGTGGTCCATCATTATACCAATACCACAAATGGTTTGCACTTGACTACTAACCAAAAGGTTGGCTGTTTGAACTCAACAAGCAACACTGTGGAAGAAAGGCCTGGCAGTCTACTTCTCTAAAAATTACAGCCAAAAGAACTCTATGGAGTTCCAATCTATTCTGTAACACATGGGGACACCATGAGTCGGAATTGACTCGACAGTAACAGTTTTGGTTTTCGTTGTTGTTGTTGTTGTGTTTTATTATACCAGTATCAGACTGTTTTTATTACTGTAGCCTTATAATATGCATTGAGATCAGGAACTTTGTGTCTTCCTACTTTATTCTTCTTTTTCAAGATTGCCTTTGTTATTTAGGGCCCTTCATAGTTCCATGTAGCTTTGAGGATTGAATTTTTCTTTTCTGCAAAGAAAGCAGAATTTTCATGGGAATTGCATTGAATCTATTAGATTGCTTTGGGTAGTATTGAAATCTTAACTATATTAAATTTTCCCATCCATGAACACATAATGCTATTCATTTAGGTCTTCTTTAATTTCCTTTAGTAATATTTTATAGCTTTCAGTGTGAAAGTCTTTTTCCTCCTGGTTAAATTTATTCCTAGTTATTTATTCTTTTAGGTGTTACTGTAAATGGAATTATTTCTTTAATCTCCTTTTCAGAATACTTATTGCTGATTTATAGGAACCCAACTAATCTTTGTGTGTTGACCTTGTACCCTGCTACTTGGCTGAATTCATTTATTAACTCTAATAGCTTTCTTGTAGAATATTTGAGGTTTTCTATATATAGGACCATGTCATCTGCAAAGAGAGATACTTTTACTTCCTCCTTCCCGGTTTGGATACCTTTCATCTCTTTTTCTTACTTAATTGCTGTTTTTATTTATTTATTTATTCTGTCTCTTTATAGTTGAGGCTTTCCTCAGATGTTTTGTAATCTTTGAATGCCTGCTCATACTTAAGTGTAGGAGCCTAAGAAGCTGAGTAGAGTCTCTGAGTGCGCAGTGGCTTGTTGGCTGTGAGTCTTATTGTGAGGAGAATTGCTTTTTAGTGGGGCACCTCTCTGTAGTCTTTTCTCTGTGGCAGGTCAGATTTCCCAGGGAAGGCTTCTCCTGCCCTTTGACCTAGGGATGTAGGCCTATCTGCTCGTATCCTGGGTGCAAGGTGACAGAAGCAGACCGAGGTCTCATTATTCAGTACAAACTTGGTGGCTTCCTCTTTTCAGTATACTGCCCTCATCCTCAATTGTGCCTTGAGTGCTAAGTCCTGAGATCTTCTGTTTTATCCTCTCCAGAGAATCAGTCTCTGGAGGCATTTTTCTAGCACTGAGAAGTGAGTAAGATGATCTAGGGATTTCTCCCTTTATTTTAGCCCCCACTACACTCCCACAGTCAGAGGAGCCTAGTGTTGCCAATTCTTAAGCTTTCTGAGGACTGTTAACACAGAGTTAGACCTCCCAGGGCTGGCTTCAGATTCACCTTTCTTGGATCTACAGAGTCAGTTACCACCACGTGTCCATCTGCTTTTTAGCTTCCAGATTTTTCTTTTGAGATATTGTCTCCTGCAGGGTTAACTTTATCTGAAGAATTTTGTCTTTGTCCTTTGTTCCTGAGAGATAACCTAAAACACCTTGGATTTTCCCCCCATGATTTAAGTGTCTTTGATAAGGACTCTAGACCACATATCAAGGTTTATGATTCATGTTGGGTGGGACTAAGTATACCAGAAAGACCCAGCATGTGCTCTGGACCTGGCACTTCAATCCAGTGATATCAGCCAGCCTCAGGGGAGAGGTGCTCGAGTTTGAATTACATAATGAGACCCTCAGTAAAAACTCTGAACACAACAAGCTCCATGGCTTCTGTGAAAAACAGCAATTTGGTTGGTGATGTGCATCAATGCATGTGGGAGGTTAGCATGTCCCTTTTTGGGATATGGAAGCTCCACATTGGGAACCTTCATAGACCTCACACTGTGAGTCTCCTCATTTGTATCCTTTTTGCTATAATAAAAACGTGATCATAATTATAGCACTTTCTGTGACTTCCATAAGTCATTCTAGCAAATGATCAAACTTGAAGGAGCAGTGGGAGTCAGGAGTCAGATGTGAGGGGTGCTGGGAGCTTGTAGTTGGCATCTTGAAGGGGTAGTGAGAAAACCCCAAATTTGTAGTCAGCAGGCCATAAGTGATAGTGTCATGGGAACTCCAAGCTTGTGGTTGGCATCTGAGGTCTTGAGCAGACTTGGAAGTCTAGAGGATTGTGTCTTTCAATTTGTGAGGTCTAACCTGGCTCCAGGTGGTTAGGATCAGAGGAAGAAATATTGTATTTGCAGTTGGTTTGAGATGTGGAATTAATAAATAGATTTCATTTACTTGATCTGTACATTTGGTGTCAGATAAGTAGGATTTGATTTTTCTAGCATTTCCTCTCTGGTTTTCTCCTTTATTGTGGCTTCTTCTTTTTCTTTTGTAATAACAGGTTTATTGAAATATAATTCAGTCACATACCATAAAATTTACGCCTTCAGGATGTACTATTCAGTGTTTTTTACTGTATTCACAGAATTGTTCATTATTACCATTATTTAATTTCAGAACTTTTTTTTTTAATCACCTCAGAAAGAAACTCATACCCATTAACAGTCACTATACATGCTACTTTCTCCCCAACCACTAATCTGGTTTCTGTCACTATGGATTTGCCTATTCTAGATATTTCATATAAATGGAATCACACAATACATGATCTTTGTTGCCTGACTTCTTTCACTTAATATAATGTTTTGCAGGTTCATCTATGTTGTAGCATAAGTGGGTACTTCATTCCTTCTTATGATTGAATAATAGTCCATTGTATGGGTATACCACATTTTGTTTATCTGTTCCTTTCTTGATGGGCATTTGAGCCTTGTGGGTTTTGCATTAAAAAACACATTTAAAAGAATGAGGTGTAGGGAAAGAGTGCAATTTGATACATATTTTTAAACTGCAATCCTAGTCCTGCAGCCCCCTGTTCCTCTATGGTTTATGAGTTTGCTGCTGCTATCACTAGTCCTTACCCGTTTTGAGGTTGGACTTGGGTCTAGAGGAAAGCACTTTGTAATGTCTTTTTCTCTCACTTAGCAAAGGTCTAGATAGTGAACAAGCTCTAGCTAATCATTCATTTTCTCATCTATAAAATAAAGGTAATAGAGTAGAACCAGGGGTCTATGGGCTACACCTCCTTTCAAAACATATTTTGCATAAAACCCTAGGCTGGGGGGGGTGGTTGGTGCAGCATAGAAACAGGCCTGGGATGCATGGAACTGTCATGACCACCCTTTTATCTTACTAAACAAATGGCAGTTTTACAGCTCTGCCTTGGGGTGTGAAGTCCATTTTATCACTGTCAGGGAAGAATTGAAATAATAGCTGAATGGAAGAAACAAACAACATTTATTTTTCTTCAAATTGTTATTTTAACTATTTTACAGATTGTTGCAGTTTTTAAATCCTGATCCTTTGAGAGCTGATGGAGTCTCTGATCTGCAACAGGTATTATAGTCCCTCAGTAAGGAAAAAAAAAAAAAGGAAGAGAGGAAGGGGAACTGTTTAATCCTTTCCTTCTCCCCACCAGACTTGAAAAATGCCTTAGCTGGGGGTACTCCACCTGAAGAAGTTCTTTTAGGAATTATCTAGTAAATTTTTGCTTTAACACAAATTACTTCTTATTCCTTTTGAGTCATAGATGAACTTCCTTTCATATTTGGTAGTTTTGATTGTTTTTGATAAGCGTATATGCCTAGATACTTACATTGACATCAAACTCTTCTACCTTACTCATTTCTATAAAATCCTTCATATTCTGTGATAATCTCAGGCAGATATTCTTTTTCTAATTCTGTTTGCTTAGTTGCAGAAGTTGAAGCGGGGCATGCAGCAGCCATTTGTAGTGCTCAGAAACAAGATTGAGCCCTGCTTAACCATTGAGATGTCCCCACTTTCAGCAGACCTAAAAAAGGTAAAAAGTATTCTTAACATCCAATTTGTGAAGTAATACTAACTTGCAGAGCTCAGGCGGCATAGTGCCTAAGCCATTCAGCTGTTAACCAGAAGGCTGGAGGTTCAAACCCACCAGCCACTCCTCAGAAGGAAGACTGGGCAATCTACTTCTGTAGAGATACCACCTTGGAAACCCAAGGAGGAGTTGCTATGAGTCAGAGTTGATTCAATCGCAGTAAGTTTGGGTTTTTTTTTTTTGGTTCTAACATGGAGAGATTTTTCATTGAACATTTATAGTTATATGTTTGCATTTGTATAATTTCTTTGTTTTTGAAATTCTCTTTTATACTTTCATTATTAATTTTTCATTCTTAAGCCTAGGATAACTTCTTTTATTGTTTGTTTGTTTATTGATTGATTGATTGATTGATTACAGTGTTTCCTCTCCTCCCCTCATACCTCTGGTAACAAAGTTTCCTTCCATATATAAACCTTTCCTTGACTTTTTACAATAATGAACTAATACAATATTTGTCCTTCTGTGATTGACTTATTTCACTCAGCATAATATTCTCCAAGTTCATCCACGTTATATGGTGTTTTGCAAATTCTACATTTTTCTTTAGTGTTGCATAGTATTCCATTTTGTGTATGTACCATTGTTTGGCTATCTATTCTTCTGTTGATGGGAAGGCACCTCAGTGGTTTCCATCTTTTTGCTGTTGTAAATAGTGCTGCTGTGGTGCATGTATCTGTTCTTGTCTGTCCAAGATAATTTCTTATAAATGAACTATTATTTTGTGGAGAAATTGTGTAACTGTAAATGCTTTTCTGAAATAAACTTTCAAAAGTGCCTCTGGAAAGTGTCTCAGAGGGAGCAACAAGCTGCCAGGAGAGTTTTAATATACTTCTTGGCATTGTCTGCAAAATTACTTTACAGATTTGATGGTTTCAACTGGTAAATGGATCATAAATATTTACTTCTTTGTTGATGTAAGAAAGAAATAAAAGTAAAGGATTCCAAATTGGCAAAAAAGAAGTAAAACTATCACTATTTGCACATGATTTGATTCTATACATAGACAATCTTAGAGACTCAACAGTAAAACTACTGAAACTAATAGAATTCACCAAAGTGGCAGGGTACAAAATCAGCATACAAAAATCAGTTGGATTTGTCTACATTAAGAAACAGAACTCTGAAAAGGAAATCAGGAAAATTATACCATTTACAATACCCACCCAAAAGATGAAGTACTTAGGAGTAAATCTCGCCAGAGACCAAAAAGACCTATACAAAGAAAACTACAGGACACCAAAAAAGACCTACATAAATGGAAGAATATACCATGCTCACAGATAAGACTTAATATACACATAAGTAAAATTTTGCTGCAAATAATTAAAAAAAGAGTTGTAGTGGTGTACTGACAGGGAACTTCCAGAAATGAAAGCTAGATGCAGAAGAGAAAGTGAAATGAGAGATATCATTGTTGATGTCAGGTGAATCTTCACTGAAAGTAAAAAATACCAGAAAGATGTTTACTTGTGTTTTGTAGACTATGCAAAAGCATTCGACTGTGTGGATTACAACAAATTATGGATAACACTGAGAAGAATGGGAATTCCAGAACACTTAATTGTGCTCATGAGGAAACCTGTACATAAATCAGGAGACTGTCATTCAAACAGAGCAAGGGGATACTGCATGGTTTAAAACCAAGAAGGGAATGTGTTAGGGTTGTATCCATTCACTGTATTTATTCAGTCTGTATGCTGAGCAAATAATCTGGGAAGCTGGACTATATGAAGAAGAATACAGCATCAAGATTGGAGTAAGACTCATTAACACCCTGAGATACACAAACGACACAGCTTTGCTTGCTGAAAGTGAAGATGAAAGACTACAGTCTGCAGTATGTATTACTCTTCAACATAAAGAAAACCAAAATCCTCACAACTGGACCAAAAAGCAGCATCACGATAAATGGAGAAAAGATTGAAGATGTCAAAGATTTCATATTACTCCGTTCCACAATCAACATCCATGGAAGCAGCAGTCAGAAAATCAGATGTCCTATTGCATTGAGCAGATCCGCTGCAAAAGACCTCTTTAAAGTGCTGAAGAACAAAGATGTCTCTTTGAAGACTAAGGTGCACCTAGCCAAAGCCATGATATTTTCAGTTGCCTCGTATGCTTGTGAGAGCTGGACAGTAAATAAGAAAGAACGAAGAAGAGTTGATGCTTTTGAGTTGTGGTGTTGGCAAAGAATACTGAAAATACCATGGACTGCCAGAAGCCAGAAGAACAAACAAATCTGTCCTGGAAGAAGTGCATCCGGAATGCTTCTTGGAAGCAAGAACGGGCAGACTTCGTTTCACCTACCTTGGTCATGTCAGAAGGGACTATTCCCTGGAGAGGGATATCATGCTTGGTAAAGTGGAGGGTCAGCAAAAAAGGGGGAGGCCCTCAATGAGCTGGATTGACACAGTGGCTTCAAGGATGGGCTCAGGTATAGCAAGGATTGTGAGGCTGGTGCAGGACTGGGCAGTGTTTCGTTCTGTACGTAGGGTTGCTGTGATTTGAAGCTGACTTGATGGCACTCAACAATAGCTACGAATATATGAAAATGTCAATACTACCTGTTTTGGTCACCTAGTGCCACTCTGAAAAGAATATACCACAAATGGGATGGCTTTAACAAACAGAAGTTTATTCTTATAAATTGGAGTCTTTAAGTCTGAGTTCAAAGTGCCAGGCTCTAGGGGCCTGGTGAAAGCCCCTCAACCTTGGGCTTCAGCTCTGCCTCCTGCTGTCAGCCCACTGAAGCTGGCTTTTCTTCACTCAGCTGCTGGCTGCTGAGGCGGACAAACTCAAGGTCAACAAGTAACAAGGCACAGTCCTGATACTACCAAACCACATGGCAGACCATTAATTCAAGTCTATTAAAAGTCCCAAAAGAGCATGGCAGGCTGCTGAAAAATGACTCGGCTACACACAGGATTCAAGCGTGCCATAAGCTAGACATCATTCGCAAAGCGGCTTCTTATCTACAGAAAGCAGACCACATCCCTAAAGCAGCTACTCAGCTGCTTGTGGTAGATCCCACCATGGAGATAATTGCCAGTCTCATCATGGGCAATAACTACCACCAGCTGTCCAGCCACCCAACTTGGTACCTGTACAGATCTTCATTGGGTGGCATCTGTATAGATCTCCTCCACTGGGTGGCTCCAGTCCCCTAGTTTCTCTGAGAGGCCACCTCACCCCCTTGACCTGGCCGGCCCTGTTCCTCTCCCTCTTGGGCATGGCAGCCCTGCCCCCTCACTCTTGGGCAGCAGCTATAACTCCATCCCACTGGCTCACAGGAACAGCAGCCCCACACTCCAGAACCAAGTTGGTGAAGGTCTGGCTTTTTGAAACATAGGGGGCTGTGGTGGTTCCACCCCCAAAGGCCATGGTCCTACCCTTGAGACTGTGGCAGCTTTGCTACCCAGTTCCTTGGTCTCTCTGCTTCTGCCAATTAATGCCCGAGGGCAACTCACTCTGCCAGGAATCTTCCTGCCCAAAGGACAGTTAGCTTTCTTGCTCATTGGGGTCCAACTTACTACTCCATCTCATGCTGGTTTCTTCTACCAGTTAATGCCAGACAGCAAGCCATTCCTTACCTAATGGCACCCGGCTTTCTCCTCTGTGGGCTGGTAAGCCTGTTGCTGTTTAATACCAATCTCTCGTTCTCTCTGCCGGAGTCTCAGGTCAAGGACACCTTCCACTCCTGTTTCCACATTTTAGGTATCTGTCAGAGCAGCACTGCACTCTCTCGGTACCTTATTCTGTTTTGGTTACCTAGTGCTTCTCTGACAGGAATATACCACAGATGGGATGGCTTGAAGAAACAGGCATTTATTCTTACAATTTGGAGGCTTTAAGTCCAGGTTCAAAGTGCCACACTCTAGGGGCTGAGTGAAAGCCCCTCAACCTTGGGCTTAAGCTCTGCATCCTACTCCTGGTTCACTGAAGCTGGAGTTTTTTCTTCACTTAGTTGCTGGCTGCTGAGGCTGACAAACTCAAGGTCAATAAGTAATAAGGCACAGTCCCGATACTACCAAACCACATGGCAGGCCATTAATTCAAGTCCATTAAAAGTCCCAAGATCAGCAGAGCATGGCAGACTGCTGAACAATGACTTGGCTATGCGCAGGGTTCAAGCGTGCCATAAGTTAGAGATCATTTGCAAAGTGGCTTCTTACTTGCAGGAAGCAGACCACATCCCTAAAGCAGCTACTCAGCTGCTTGTGATAGATTCCATCATGGAGATGATTGCCAGTCTCATTATGGAGAATAACTACCACCAGCTGCCCAGCCACTCAACCAGGCCCGGCCAAGTTAACACACAACCTTAACTACCACACTACCCAAAGTGATCTACAGATATGATGCAATTTCTATCCAGATTCCATTATCTTTTTTTTTTTTTTTTTCAAAAAAGAGATGGAAAAACTAATCATCAACTTTATATGGAAAGGAAAAAGACCTCAAATAAACAAAGCATTATTAAAGAAGAAGAACAAACTAGGAGACCTCACACTCCAATTTCAAAATCTACTATACAGCCCTCAGTAGTCAAAATAGCCTGGTATTCACAACATAATAATAGAAATCTTGGTCCATAACCTGCTTTGGTGAGTAGTGACTAGGGTCTTAAAAGCTTTTGAGTGGCCATTTAAGATGCAGCTAATGGTGTCTTCTTGTTGGAAGTGAAGAAGAGTGGGGAAAACCAAGGGCGTTTGGAAACAATCATCCATAGGGTATGATGGACCTTGAGATCAGAAGAACTAGATGGTGCCCAGCTACCAATGTCATCCACTATGGAAGGGATCAAAACTGGAGATCCTGGATAGAGTGGGAGGAAAAATGTGGAAAAAAATTCAAAAACACAGTAACAACCAGAATTACTGGTCAGATGGAGTGTGGTGGGACCCCCAAGACTGTGGCCCTGGAATACACTTCGGGCCTGG